ACCAGCTTTTGTTGTCTTTTTCTCGCCAGCCTTTTCTTCCGCAATTGCAATACACTCCCGCCTGTGCTGGATGATGCTCTAGCTGCCGAGCTCCACGCGAGCACCATCGAAGCAATGAGCTTTGGGGTCGGGTCGCAATTTAGTTTGTGTTGGGGGTGTATTTCTATGGGCAGTGTTATACACTCCACAGTTATTAAAACTATGCCAAACGCGCATTCCCTCAAACTCCTCCGTGCGCTGTGCACTTCAATTTACTTACTTCAGCGAAAACTCCACAAGCCCTCAAACGCCGTTAAACAATATACTTGTCATATGACTACTATAAGTAAGGAATCAGATCTGCACGACCAGAATATGGGTAGTAGCTAGCTCGTAACAGGACAAAGCGCTGCATGACAAGCTGAGACCGATTAACCAGACTAGCTCCAGAGCTTGAAGAAATATTGAACCATTCGAACCACGGTCTGTAAAAGAAGCACACTCTTTTGTGAAAAGCAAACTGCCTGCTGTTCGTAATCGCACGAACATGCTCATCTATTTTTGAGACGCATCGGCTTTGTCGAGCTTCAATGCGCAGCGCTGCGCAGCTGCTCACACCTGGCACGCTGAACAAGCACGGAATAAATAGGATGTGATGGTGCGCAGCCTCGGCTTGCTAGTCGTGAGCGACCTTAAAGCACATGAAGCTTTACCACTGTTGGCAGCTCCGGCGTAGATAGTCCTGAACGTGATGCTTCTGCATGAGCGTGTGCGAGGCTTTTATTTAGACTGGAGACTGTTGATTGCAAAGACAAAAAGTGTCGATCGAAAATGGTGACCCTTGGGCAGACATAATGACGGTGCTTGCACGTGGCTGCATGCTGGCATGGTAGCAAGCTGATTGTTCCGGCTTTTTTTCTTCGAGGAGCTTGAGGTAGGCGCACCACAATCCCCAGGCGCGCCTGCGCGCCACTTGCACAGATCTCATCCTGATGATGCACATTTGACAGCCTCGATATCCAAACCCTCTCTGTCTAACTTTCCCTTTCCTTGGTTCGGGTGGTGTGGGATCAAGGCCCCTCCCGCAGAAACGACTCCCCATTATGAACTCGAACCCCAAACACGGCTCAACCTGGTATCCCGAAACGACAAAAGTGGGAAGCTGGCCTGTAACGACACCACCAGCTGGCGTCTGGTGTGGGGAGCCAGCTGCGAGAATGTAGGCACCCAGGCCTGCACCAAGCAAGGTCCGCCAGTGCAGACCCTGTCGGATTGTGTGGGTGGGTGCGGGGTCTGAATTTGTGAGACATCAGCGGAACATGTGTCTACACAAGGTATGGCAGGGTATGCTACCATAGAGCAAAGAATGCCTTTTTAAAGGATAGTGACAGGAATACTCTCAAGATAGCTTGAGCCTTCTCGGTGCTTATGAAATATGAGGGGGTGTTGCGTTAGGATGTTTCTGAAAAGCCCGCTAGGTTAAATACGGCATAAGAACTGACCCCCCTTGTGTCTCGGGCTAAATCTCCGAAATTTAGCCACCTCCCAGATCGCACACGTTCGAGCATATCATGCAAGACTGCTCGGGGTTTAGCCTTGAAACGCGAGGAGGAGTGCCTTCAACCGTTGTTTACTATCACTAGTACGACTTCGATAACCAGGTTCGTCATCTGATTCACAAGAACCCAAGTCTCCCGTCCTCGCGGTCTTGACTCACATTCGCCCGGAAATGCAGCATTGCGCAGGAAGGACCGACAAGATTGGCGTGAACTTGTTTTTGGGATGGCACATGCTCAGTGTCATGTGCTCAGTTGCTGCCACCATGCTCTGAATCTGCTGCGTGACCTCACAGACGCCGCATGCAGCGGAAATGAGCTGCAGGAGCCACGACGGCTCTAGAATAGAATAGCTATTATAAAGAGATCGCTGTTATCAGCTGAATCAAGAACAATGCTATTCCAATGCTCCCCCACGAGATTGAATACACGACCAAACTATTTCAAAGACTTGGGATTGCTGCGCCAATCGCCCGGGTGCTGTTGTAATGAATTGCCCCTATACTGCTCCTGTTGCTTCGAATCTTGTGTTTTCGATCTCTCCTTGCAACGCGCTGAGCAAGGGGCTAAACCCGAAATGCCGGCAACAAAAACATCTCCCTGGAACTTTCGTGAGCAGGGGTTTGAACTGTTTAAGTTCTTGCTGGGTTGTTTGCGGGCTGAGGAGAAGTGCTGTTTCAGTTCTTGCTGGGTTGTTTGGGGGCTGGGGGGAAGTGCAGTTCCTGATGCAACTGTTTGAAGGGAGAAGTGGTTGGGCTCAGCTGGTAACACAGCTCCCGGCCTGAGTCTGAGCCTAAGGCCTGACCGCGTCGGATGAAACCAAATGAACGAGGGCATATTTGCTGAGGCTCATCATGCATGCTAGAATGCAGGGATAATGAGACGGATAACGACGAGTATGAAGCTTTTCTATACCAGCATTCATGGAGATCTCAGAAGATTCCGTCATTTGGAGAATACCCCCTATTACGTTACGCGATTCGAGGTGACATATTATCCTCAGCACGTGGCGTTGTAAAGCCCCGAAAAATACCTTGCTTGCCTGTGGCAAGCGCAAGGATAAAATAAAGTGAGGCTGGAGGGGACAGGTGAGGCAACGAACGAGGATTTCATGCCAAGCTGGTTTAGGGTTTAGCTTAGGTTTCAGGCTTGGGTGGGGTTCGTAGGAAATAGAGATGTTCATCTGTTTGCCATGGCTGCAAGCAGCTGATCAGCAAGAGCCCCAGCCGGCCCACTCCCCTCTTTTGACAGCACAATGCCGAGATTTCCTGTGCCACCCCCCGGTGTCGGCAGCGCTTCATTCCCAATGAACCGGTCATCCTCGATTTCTTTCTGATGCCTGAAGCTCGCTAATGATTGCAGCGCCAGCTTTCTCAGACAAAGGCCAAGCCTTCAGAGTGCGGTCCAGGCCCCGGGTTGTCGGGCTGTTCCATGGGTGAAACTGGATTGCCTAGTCCTGGTTACTTTCTGCTGCCTGTTCATTAGTCGGCGTCGGACCTTCTGACCCACGTTCGGCCTCGACCCAGCTCAGGCCCTGCGTTTATCTGCTGGAGTGGCTAGTCATGCTACCCGCCAGCCTGAGATTTTGATGGGAGATCCTTCAAAGGCGCCTCAGGCTCGCCTTGAAAGTAGTGATGCCAAAGATCTTCGGTCCTAGTGCTGGCAGTCAAGGCAGGCCAAATCATCTGAGCAAGACAGCAAGCCTTGCCGTTTTCTGAGGTTTTAGCTGCGACGATGAGACGAAATGCTGTATCCTCATAGCGGAAACGCTGCTTGAGCATGAGCTTCACACAATACCTGTCCTTTAATACTAACCCCCCCTAATATTAAATACGGGTTCACCAGAATTCCAAAATCTGAAATCTGCCCCCAAGAGTACGCACTTTTACAAAGGGCAAGCCCTAACTTGCCCTAATTTGAAATAGTCCCTAATAAGGCCCTTGTTTGAAATAGTCCCTAATAAGACCCTAATTTGAAATAGTCCCGAAGAAGGCTCTAGATTGAAATGGTCCCTAAACTCTGCGATGGAAGGATGAGAAGGAGCAAGCATCCTACGAAGGCCTGAAAAATCATGTTTTTGACTTCTTGCTCTGCCGCGTCTACCTGCTAAAATCTGAAACATCATTAGCAGGCTACGTCGCGGCAGTTTTCATGCCGGTATGGTGTACAGCTTCACAAGTTCACCTGGTGATGAAAACAGCTGAAGAGGGTACTGCCGCAGCGCAGGCAATTCACTCTTTTGGGGTCTGAAATTTGGACTCCTAAGTCATTGACATGCGCGACTGCATTCCAACCCGACTGCATTCCAAACCTTCAAGCCAGTTTACAATTCAGACCCCGTGTTCCTGAACCGGGCGTGCTTACATCACCCTCAGTGCTTGAAAGCAAAGCGCAACATTCAGCATGACGTTATGTTGCGGGAGGCGACAGGGAGGGCGACCGGGTCCCAGGCAGGAGAGGCCTTTGTGCAGGCAAAACAAACCCAGGAATGAGGGTTCGGTTTGCCAGCGGACTGACATGCACGAAAGAAGGGGACCACCCCAGCACTCTCGACTGGAGTCTAGAGCCTACTCAGCCCTGGGACACATGGTCTGAAGTCCCCCACAGATGCAAACCTTGCTTGTACTTGTAACGCGTTTCACAAGATGGCCAAGAAGAGCTTAGCGGGCTTACTGCAAATACTTCGAAAAGGATAATTGGGCTATCCCGAAGTAGAGTTTCACGAAAGAGTTCACCGAAATCATTTATCCATATCTATCTGCAACCAGTCCTTGATTCGGGCACAGCAACTATTCTTATTCTGGGTTCACTCCCTGCTGGATCCAAGCACGGAATACCCGGATCCGGAATGGCGGGGTCAAATAGACAGGTACATTCCGCTCAAAAACACAGGACGATTCACCACAATTCCTGGAGTTTGCGGACTCGGGCATGCAGCACAACACGACGCACTCCTGTCTGTAGTCAGCGCAGCAATGCATGGCAGCACAGCTTTTTGAATTGCTGAGAGTGCTTGCTGAGAGATGGTGTCGGGCAGAAACAAAGTTCTTTGTCGCTTGCTGCGCTGTGCAACTGTCAGCAAAATGCGGTTTTTGCTTCATTGTTTCATAGGGTGTGGCTGTCAGACTCCGGTCAGCCGGCCGCAGTGATTTTTTCTTTTGCCTGCTCTGGCAGAGCAGTCAGTCGTCCGCGCCCCTTTCCATTCTCTGCCAATTTTTACAAAGCAGTCACAATGCTGAAATTCTCGTCTAACCTTAGCAAGAACTACTTGTCCCCATCTTTATCCAGCTGCTGCAAATGCACGGGCTATACGAATTTCAAAGTGGGCCGGGGGCAACACTGGCTTGGGTCGAATTGGCTAGCGTGGCAGCTCCGTAGCCTGCCCATGGGACAGGTTGGACACATCCTGGAACACTGCGAACTCCGAGCTTTGCAACCGTTTGCACGTCGCTCTCACTTGTGCCCTGCTGGACTGGTTTTGCATGGTGCCTGGAATGTGACGAGCCTTTGCCAGCTTTGGACTTGCGTGGCCTCTCCAAGGGCCGCATGTCCTCGGCCGAGCTCATGCTGTGATGCACGCTGTTGGCGGGTGTCAGGGAAAGGGCTCAAGGATTGAGGCCACGGCATTCACCGTGCTCTGCTTGAGTTTGGGAAGCGCAATCAACCCGGGACCTTGCTGCAATCCCTCATGTCAAGCGGACTTCAAGACCGCATAGAGCTTTCAGCCATCGACTGCTGCAGTAGGCTGCTCGTTGCGTCCTGATTGCAAGTCTAGGCAGAACAGCCAGGGGCAGACTTGGACGCACTCTGTGAGAATGTTGGACCCTCTTTACACAAGGGACTCGGTCTTACATTTCGTTGGCAGAATGGCAGAATTATTCAGATTCTGGTATTGTTTGAAGCCTGCGCAATATATGTTCGGGTGCCAAAATTGAATACTAGCTTCAAGGCTGCTACCAAGATTCATGTTTTCTTGATTTCAAGGCCCGCATACAAAAGCGGGTCCAACATGATACTGGCAGAGCCTGCGGGAATCCAGTCGCGGCAGCTCCTCCCAGTGACAACTTGTAGAAAGGTAGGTTAGAATAGTAGGCAAGCAAACAGCTTGAAAGTTCAGCAGCCAACATGTAAGAGAAAGACACTGCAACACAAGCACAGCTACAAAGATAAGGGAGAGAGAGAGAGAGAGAGAGAGACGGGGAAACAGAGAGAGAGCGAGAGTGAGAGAGCCGGGAGGGCTTCGTGACTTTACGTTATGCGTGAGGCGACCGCCCGACAGCAAGCCTGAACCTGCCATGATGTGCGCGGCCAAGAAGAGCCAAGGTCATTCTGCGCATCATCTGCCTGCAGCTGTTCCTGCACTGCAGCCTTCCGTTTCTCCCGTGCAGCCATCCAGCGCTGCCATGCCACCTCACAGCAAGGCGGTCACAGTCTAAAGCTTTGGCAGCTAGCTTTCTTTCCAACCCGAATCGTTCTTTACTCTCCAGGCAGGCAAGCTGCTGGCACCCGTGGGGTGCCCCTGCGAGGCGCCGTTGAAGATGAGATGGGTGTTTGTAATGGTCGTCCCTGACATGCCATAAGGAGCGGCGTGATGGACCCTTGCCAAAAATCACGAGCATGCTCTTCACACGCGTTTTCTTCACAAATGTCCTCTTCGGCTACTAGCGGGCCAGGCTTTGGTGAGCTGGCTCATTCAAGAAGCATGGCAGAAGCACCACCGCAACATGACCATCGGGGAGTTCGGACCAGTGCCGGCTACCTGGCGTTGCAGGGTTGCATGGTGGAAGTTTCAAGCAGTGGTCGCTAGCCTTTGATCTCTCAAGGCCCATTCGTCTTACGTCTCACTCTGTCTGATGTCACATCTTTTTGGCCAGGCCTAAGGTCGATTCCAACAGCAAGATGTGAAGGAACTCCGCGGCACTTCCTTGTTCTGCTTCGAACTTCAGAGGCTTCTGGCACGGCTCACCGGAAACAATTACAAGGGCAGCCGATGGAGATCACACAGGCCATATCAGATCAAGTTTGCCCAGGGGCGCGGGTCTGTTGGCACGCCGGTCACACAGGCTACAAGCGCCGAAGCATGAATGTTGAACATGTTACCCCTTTGGGTAAAGACGTATGTGCATATCATGCATCTGCCGTCCACGACTGCCATCGAACTTATAAATGTAAAAGTTTAGTTTAGCTCAGTCATTACAATGCGGGTTGTGAGAAGCCAGGCTGAAACGGACCAAAACTCACAAGAGCATTTCTGCGTGAAGTAATTACACTACCAAACCAAAGTAAAAGCCGCCAATGACAGTAAACCCCAGGGATACCTTTGTTTAAATGCTTCAGGGGTTCCGATCTTCTGATTCCTGGAGATCCTGGAGCTTCCGAGGCTTCCGGAACTTGCTGCAAGCCCGACAAAATTCTCGCCACCTTCAACCTGGTGACTGTTTAGCTCTTTCGGCCCCCTCGCTGGTGCCTGCAGCAATGAACCCGAAGATGCAGACCTAGGCGCTAGTGACCCAGGTTGGGCTGCTTGCCTTGCCACCTCTGCGCTTTCTAGCTCAGTGGGCGCTGCCTCCATTGCTCCATGTTGCTCTCTGTCTTTGCCGTGCTGTGTGGCCTCTTCTGGGTTCAGGATGTTCGGGAATGGCATTCCTTGACACTCCTCCTCAGGTGCCTCCTCCAGCGCTGCGCCTGGCACTCTCTCTTGCATGGACACCTCCTTGCTCTCTCCAGGCGCGACGAACTGCAGCGTTGCCATGGGCGTCGCTGCCTCAAGCGCTGCTGCCTCGGTTGCCAGAGCGGCATCTCTCCCGGTGGCGCCTTGCTCATGCTGTACTTGTTCCTCAAGCTCGGCAGCTGGTCCCGTGAACATCTTAGCCGCACGGTCAGCTGCTGATTCAACTGGCACTTCCTCCCCGATTGCTGGATCTGCATGCCTGCCATGTTCCTCATCTTGTTCTGTCAGCTCGTCGAGCTCACCGGAGTCTACCGGCTTCCAATTCCCTGGCGTCAACAGGTCGATTTCTGCTTCCTCACCCAGCTCCCAAGCTCTGGCTGCGTCTCTGTCGAGCTCGATAGTCTCTCCAGTTTTGCATGGCAACACCATCGCCTCCGCACCTTGTCTTGGATCCTCATCTAGCCCTGCTTGGTCAAGTGACGCTACTTGTCCTGACTCCTTGCACGGTGCGGCAGTCCCTCTTATCATCAACTTCGCATTAGGAGCTGCTACCAATGCTGCATTTCTCTCTTGGCACTTGCCTTCAACTGCTTGCTCTTCGAAGTCCCTGTGCTCTCCTGGCTCCCAGAACAGCACTGGTGCTGTTTCTGATTCAATTGCCTCCTCTGCCGCCGCTGGGCTTTCATCCGTTGCTTCCTTTGCGCGTGCTGCTTTCTCTTCAGTGTCTTGCTGCACCGCTGTTGCCCAAGCGCTTCTCTCTTTGTCCTCGACTTGCTCAGGCTTATCCACAGACTTCTCCCATTCAGCTTCCTGGCTTACTAAAACGGCGTCGGAGCCCTCTGAAAGTTGCTCTGCGCGCTCCCGGACGGTGCCTGTCAAGAACAACTCGTGAATCATCTCATGCACCATCATCGCCCATGTTCTCAATCTGAGCTTAACAGGCTTAGATAGGCTTAAGATATTTTTGCAAACCTTTGCAAGCACCTTTGCATGACTACCATCTTTAATACAAAGTTTTCGGGCTTTTCATGATCAGGGAACTGTTTTGGTGTACTTTAAAGGCTGCGTAAGCAATGTTATTGTTTTTGTTTTGTTTTTGCGCTTTGTCTCAACAGTCACAGGGATTGGAGGGGTCGAGGTTCCACAAGTGTCAACAGTCACAGGGACTGTGGGGGTCAGGGTCACGATCCTCGTACCTGTCGTCGCTTTTAGACCCTCGACCCTCTTGGAGTTGCTCTTTTTTTTGGAGCACAGGCTAGCGCGAGCCGTGCTTCTTGGAGTTTCAAAAGGGGTGGAAAATTTTGGAAAAAAAAACAATGAAACATATGAAAATGATGAAAAATCATGAATCAAGCATGACAACAAATAATGAAAAATCATGAAAATGATGAAAAAACACTAAAAGTAAAAGGAAGATAAAACAACTTCAGGAAAATGATGAACCACATCATAAAAATCATGAAACATGATGAAACATCCTGAACCATTATGAAGAATCAATAAGAGTGATGAAACATGATGAAACAACTTCATGATACATGGTGTAAAATCATGCAGAATAATGAAAACTGATGAAATGCCATGAAATCTATGAAGAATGATGCAGGATGATGAAAATGATTAACCAATCCTGAAAAGTATGAAAACTTTTGAAAATTATGAAAATAACGGTAAAAAAACATGACATGAAGCATGGCGGCATAAAAAAAAAGGCGGTGGGGTTGGGGGGGGCGCAGTCCCCCCCCCTATTTGCAAGCAAAATGTCAGCATAACTAGTTACAGCAAGCTTGGATGGCCTCGCAAGAAAGTATTGAAATCATGCAAAATGATGACAATGGCAAGCATGGACGGTCTTAACAAACGGGCGGGGGTTGGGGGGGGGCGCAGCGCCCCCCCGCCCTTCTCAAACGAAAAGATCTGCAGATTATTAAAGTATTTCTACTAGAGACGGAACTGTTGTGGGCACATGCTTTTGACATCACAGCATGAGTGATGCTAAGGAGTAGGCCTAACATGGCTGCGCACGTTGCTTCGGACAAGCACATCTGATTGTGAATGTTGCGTTTAGAACTTGCAACAGATGTAGTATTGGCTTGGCATGTTAGATGCTTTGAGAAGTCTGTTTCAAATTTCGAAGCACAATTTGAAAGGGTTTATTCCCCGCCCATGAAAGAGGGATTTGCAACCGAATATGAGGAGACCATAATCAGAGAAATTTCCTGCAAGTTTGTAACTGATTCTGTAAGGGATTTGGTCAAGGATGTGAGACTTCCTCCACACACTTCATATTGAGGAAAAGAAGATATTGGAAGTATTGAGATGGCGCACTAAGCCACGTACCAAAAATTACATACCCTTCACCCACATTTTAGCACATGGAATTTCCTAGGAATATATTCAATTCTTTCATACAATAAGAGTACAATAATGCTATAGAGCCCAAAACAGTTATGTTTAGGCCAGGGGTAACCAAACCTTTTTTCTCCTACGAGCGGAATAAAATTCTCTCCTTTCCACAACAAAGATACAAGAGAAATGTAATGGACTTGGGAGAAGTTAAGGCTCCAGTTCCGTGCACGTGTATTTCTTTTGATCCCATAGAAATTCAAGAAAAACGCTGAAGCTGACATCATCGACAAAGCAAAGGCTTACAAAACATGCTGCTGGCTTCCAAGGTCCAGAACTTTGGACCCGAACAACAGATAAACACGAAAAATGTGTCGGGACATTCCGAAAAATGCCGCGATGTCCAGGAGTCCCGGAGTTTTTGTTTTTTCAAATTATGTGCTGGTTTTATTGTTAAAAATCACAAAACATGCAGAAGGCGCACGCCCGTCGTTTTGTGAAAGTGATCCGCAGGGCCTCCCTAGGGCCTTCAATACCGTGGGAGCCTTATTGAGGACGCCTTATGATTCATTTTTCTGGGGGCCCCATTGCTTGGGGGGGGTGTAAACACTAAAGGGAGTGCAACATCAATGTCAAGAAATGTTTGGTAACCTAGGCTTTTGATATCAGCCTTTGCTTTGAAATCTCAAGGCTTGGATCTCTGAACTCAAGAGCTCAAAACCGCAGAGAGACTTAATCATTGAAAATACAAACCTTTTTTTCCGTGCAATTGTTTAGGCACCTTCTTTACTGTCAAAAACTTTTGGTAGCCTTGTACCCGCCTTTTAGCTTAACACTTTAAGGCTTAGATCTTTCAACTCAAAAACTCGAAATCGCTTAGCTCCAGTTAATGTCAATGGCGTACTTTGCCGAGAATGCCGAGACCTCAACAATTTGTGTTGGACGTAGTCCACTGAAAATTGAGGCCATCCTTCATGCAATTAGGCAACGTCTGTACTGACAGAAATGAAAATGTGTTGGTAGCCTAGGTACCATTTATAGAAACCGTTGAGCTGAAACATGTCATCTCGGTTCTCTAACCTAAACAATCCTAAACAGAAGCTGAAGAAACTGAAGTTGCTAAGTCTCTTGAGCTCATGCTGTCTCCCCAGTTATGTAAATCCCAAGCTCACTGCTAATATTCATGAGGCATACCAGTATTAATGTTGATAGTATTTTTGATAGCGACAGTTGATAGTATTGCTATTCGTACTATGGTATAGCACCCATATCAATACTATTACCACCAGGTCCCCTCAAGGAAGTCCAACCTGCGGCCCCCATTTGCTCAAACGGAAACATGCACAAGGACATAACCTTGGAAATTTCGCATTGCAGAAGCGTGGTTCTCTCCATCAGAGGCTGGTGCGCTAAGAACTTAGGAGGCTTCCTTTCCCAAGATTCTGGTTAGGAATTATGGTCAGGGATCCTTTAGGGATTCCGCTTAGGGATGATTAGGGTATTTGTTGGGAATCCTCAGTAGGAGTTCTTATCAAGGACTTTGACCAAGGATAAGACTTGGAATGACTTGAAGATCATGGCCAGCACTTTCACCACGTATCTAGTGTTCATATCAGGATTCCTTGTTATGAGGATCGCACCCAGCTAGAAACTCCCAAGGAGGAGGACTGCCAGCGAAGACTCCGAACAAACATGCCTGACAATTCCGATAGATAAGATGTCTGTGTTTCACTAGTTTCAGGGTTCAAGGGGGGCTCGTTTGAGAGTTTGATATGAAACTTTGGAGGTGGCGGAGCCTTTTGGTTGTTTGCCACCTCCGCCGCCCCATCGCTGGGAATTCCAACGGCTCCGGACCTGGGTGGCTAGGGAGCGGGCTGTGGTTCCGAAGGGCTGTGGACGGATTTAGGCGGAGAGATGCAAAAATTGCCCCAAGAGACAAACAGCCGAAAAGGTCTTAAACGCAAATTTGGCGCGAAAGTCAAAAAGCCGAAAAATGCGAACGAAAAGTGCCCAAAAGCCCGAAGAGTCGAAAAGTACCGAAAACCCCGAAAGGTCGAAACATCCCGAAAAGTGTCAAAAACTCCGAAGAGTTGAAAAGGACCGAAAAACTCGAAACGTCGAACAATCCCGAAAAATACACAAAACACCGAAAAGTGGACAAATCCCGAAAAGCACCAAAAAACACGAAAAGCGAAAAGTACCGACAAATCCGAAAAGTCGAAAAGTCGAAAAATGCCGAAAAGTCACGAAAAGTAACAAAAAAACACCAAAAACACATGAAAAGTCGAGAAGTACCCGAAAAAAACCACAAAAAGCCAAAAAATCCCACAAAGTCGGGGCCCAAGCACCGACACCCAACGCAGATTGCAAAAGCATCTACGATTAAAACTGAGAAGCTCTTCTTCTTAACCCTGGGCGAATTGAAGTCTGTAAATGATACCCGCATTGCGCCCCAAAGTGTTTAACTGCGTCCTACTGAGTAGTAGTAGTAGTAGTAGTAGTAGTAAAAGGAGTAGTAGTAGTAGTAGTAGTCACAATGGTAGAAGAAGTAAAAGTAGTCACGTCCGTCACGCGTTGCACCCTAAAGTGTTTAACTGTGTCCTGCTGAGTAGTAGTAGTAGTAATAATAATAGTAATAGTAATAGTAATAGTAATAGTAAAAAGGGTAGTAGTAATAGGAGGAGGAGGAGTATTAGTAGCAGTCACGAAATTAAACTTGAGTAGTACTTGCAGCAGAAGTGAAAACACACGTAGAAGTAAATGACTCTGACCGTAAGGCGTACTTTTGTGCGCAACATGAACTTTTTGCGAAAACTGCCCAAACTCGAAAGTTTCAACTTTTTGCAAAAAGTTGTTTTTTCTCGAAAGTTGTCCGAAAAGTCAAGAAATGCAACTTTTTGCGATTTCTTTGAAATACGTGACCGAAAAGTCGAAAAGGGTAACTTCTTGCAAAATTGACCGAAAATCGAAAAGTTGAACATTTTGCGAAAAGTAAAACGTTTTGCGAAAAGTGAGCGCAAAAGTCAAAAAGTGAACTTGCTTTTTCCAAAATTGACCGAAAAGTGGAAACGTGTAACTTTTTGCGAAAAATGCCAAACAAGTCGAAAAGTCATTTTTTTGCGAAACACAATTTGTGTTTCTTTGCGAAAATTGCGCGAAACGTCGACAAGTGCAATCTTTTCTGATCGCAAAGTCGAAATTGCAAAATTGCCCGAAAAGTTGAAAAGTGCAAGATTTTGCGACAAGATTGCGACAAGTAAAGCTTGTTGCGGAGAATGAAACTTTTTGTGAAAAAAGTCCGACAAAGTAGAAAAGTGCAACTTTTTGCGAAGAGTAAAATTTGTTACGAAGAGTGCCCGCAGAGTCGAAAAACAACTTTTTGCAAACTTGACCGAAAAGTCAAAACGTGCAACTTTTTGACTTTTTCACGAAAAATCGAAAAGTTATTTGTTTTTGCGAAGTGACATTTTTTGCGAAAAGTAACACTTTGTGACTTTCTGAACGAAATGTCGGCATTCTCCGGCTGCGCGAGACCACGGCCGGTGGCGAGCTTAGCGGGAAACCATACGAGATTTACTACTTCTAGCCCTTGACACGAAAGAGTATATCCCATCTATATTCCCTCTATCTTTTTCCTCCGCTGGGTCTACATTCTGAGACTCCTTATCATCTTACGTTTAATTCATTACGCGCACCTGCAGGACCACGTACGCACAGAAATTTGTGTTTTGCCATGCCATCTGTAGGACCCACTACAAAGCGAGCCTTCAGGGCGTAATTTTTGTGAACGTCTGCCGATTAAGGATGGTATGGTTGCTAGAGAAACCCTCCCAAGAAAACTTGCGGCCTGATCCCTCAGGCATGGTTCTTTGGCCGGGCTGTCAAAAAATACTTAACACCTCAGTCCTCCCAAGTCCCATAACCGCGAATTAGCAAAGCAACCACGAGGGAAGGCATTTCCACATGCTGGCATTTGGCAAAGCCAACCATTCTGTTCCATTCTCGCTCCTGCCAGGCTTTCTTGTTCATACACGAACAAAAACAAAATAAAACAGATAAGCGGCGAAACGAACCATGATCGCAATCTGCAATTCATGCTAGGCAAGTGGGTCGCCCACGTTGACAGACAGCCAAGAACCCTCAAGAACCCAAGCTTTCATCCAGAGATCTTGGGAGCGGCTTGCCTCTTAGGCAAGGTAACGAAGTGTTGCAGCGGCGTTGCAATTTTCATTTTTTGGGAAGGGCAACTGTCAAAAGCCTTTGCAAGTCTCACTAAACCCTGCCTGCCTTCAGATTGAGCCTCCACTGCGTCGTTGTTGGTCAACGCAGCGCTGTTGGAGGACGCATTCTCTGCGGCCTGCAAGCACAGCCGTGTCGCGCAAAAGGAGCAAACGCGACAAGACTTGCTAGATTTTCTTCTGCATGTCGCCGAAACTTGCCAGCACTGTCACTGGTAGTCATTGCTGGGGCTCTATCCGAATAAGTAGTGGCACTTGTCATCCGCTCTTTGGGTTTTTTGGCCAGTTTTTCAATCGAAACTCTGCAGTAGGCACAAGGTACAGACGCATGGATGGGAGCGTTATGTGTAGTTCCTAGGTTTGTGCTGCAGGGTTGCAATAACAACACGCAATGATCCGCTAAGCCATGAGGGATGCTACCTTTTGATTGAAACGGCTAGAGCAACACACAACGGAGTTGCAGACCAGTACAAAGGGACCGACATGCACGCTTTCGCGAAATCGGGACTTTTGTGCAAAATACGTTGCTTTCCCTCACGGTCGTGGCCACTGTACCAGCCACAGTAGCGGCGGGATAATGGTGCGCAGCTTGACTGGCAATCATCATAGTAAGATTAAGAGTCCGTGGCTTGCCCGCGAGAGCGGCGTGTCGTTTCAGAGCCTTCGTAGCGCGAACCCTTGCCTTTGTCTTGGGCCTTGCCCGGGCCTTTCAGGGGACACAGAACCATGCTTTGGCAATTGCGCTTTGCCGAGCGGGAGCGTTCCGCGTAGCTGCTCGCGCTTCCCTCGCCAAAGAGTGCATGCGTGCCTTACCTTGGAAACGAGATGTTCTTTAAAGTTGCCGATCCCTAAAACGAGACCATTTGGAACACTAGACCTGTTTCCTAACAAACTTCCAGTTCCCACAACAAAACTCGCTCAGACACTCTTTTTGCTTTCGAATGGCACGGGGTTGGGAGGGTGGGCACTTCAAAATTGCCCCCNNTTCATGTCATGTCACATGTATGAAAACTCCTCAACTCCCCCATGTTCATGAAAATCACGCGGAAAACATAAGGCATAAAACCACTGCCGTTCCTGATGAACAAGCGTTCGCACCAACGGCGCCCACATAAAACCTTTTGGGCTAGCATACACTGCCGTAATGTGTCCGTCATCACGAATGCGTACACTAGCCCTGTTTCCTAGCGAACTTCCAATTCCCACAACAAAACTCGCTCACACGCTTTTTTTGCTTTCGAATGGCACAAATCCCTGTCGTAGCCGGAAAGGACCTTGCCACCAAGCAGGCTCCCCCCCCCCTATCTAAGACTACGTTCCCCCCATTTAGGAAACTACTGGCACCAGTCACTCTTCCTATCGGGGTTGGGAGG